CATGTATCGTGGAGGCAGTTTACAAACATAAATTGCACGCCGGAACAATTATTTGTAGTCCATACAAATACTTGTTCCGTGCGGCATTCGAACCCGCGGCCCCCCAGCGCGACAACTTATTGCTAAGCCACTGCGCCACGGCGCCGTCATTTGTTTCCAATATATACATTCTTATGTGTTTTAATAAGTTTTTGTTATTGGCTTATCCATTTTTGGGCGTAATTTTTAAATACTATAAAAATTATCAATATACAGGTGAGCGCTATCTAATAGCATAACTAATATATTTATAGCTTAACATAGCGCTGCTGTCATTTGCTGATGATTAATTATGGTAATGAATTCGTATCACGCTCACTTGAAGGTAGCCCGAGTTAATTCTGACTTCAGGACATCAAGTATCTCAGTCTCGTCGTGACTAAGGATACTTTTAAAACTCGATAAAATCCATAAAATTGGTTTTATTCAAGTTATTTCTTGTTTCTTATTTCAGTATTACGATACATTGCTCCCGGCCCCACCAACATCGCATCAGGAGTGAACCCTCCAGAATCGTGGAGGATAGGGCGAATGGTACCCCGGAGTAAGCTCTTTCGCCTAAAAATCGTAACTGGAATACTATGTTTGACGGCTCCGTGGCGCAGTGGCTTAGCAATGAGTTGCTGCGCTGGGGGGCGCGGGTTCGAATCCCGCACGGAACAAATATTTGTATGGCCTACAAATGATTGTTCCGGGTCTGGATGTTTGTCCTTGTGAAATTTGTGTTTGTAAACTGCCTCCACGATACAGGAGAAAATCCTAGTGAGGGGGTAACGTTTTTTTAAAAAAAAAAAAAAATAAATAAATAAAAAATATGTTGGCTATTAGGGATAAATGGCAACCCGCCCCGGCTTCGCCCGGATTTAATTATTTATGTGCGTTATTTAGATTTAAGACATCAAGACTATTTGTTATATCATATTAGTTATATTTACGTGGTAGAGCCATGCTGCAGCTATATTAGTAATATAGTTGTAGCACGAATGGGTCGGCTCCACCGGGGAGGGACCACGCTCTCACAGAATACCAGCGTAAAATAGCAGCTTAACGCTGCCTGCTGTGTTTCGTATGGTGAGTGTAGAGAACCGGAGACACTATTTACTGGCAAAGAGGCATTCCATCTTAGTCCTCACGGGTGACAACGTATCTGCATCTTGAGTCTTTATTAAGGATAGATGTAGATGTCTATGGGTCACAGTAACCACTTACCATCAGGTGGACTGTGTGCTCGTTTGTCACCCTATCCTATAAAAAAAAATATAAATTTTACGATTTCTCAAACAAAAACGTTCACGTTTTTCAGATAAAATATAGCCTACATCACTCCTGGTATTGTTCTCAAACTGTTCGTCAAGTTTCATTACAATCGGTTCAGCCATTCCGAAGATCGGTTCAGCCATTCAAAAACCCGGACAGACAGACAAACTGAAATGAAAGCCTTAATGGCATGCAAATATTACTCAGGTCAATAAAGGACAGTTATTTCGATATAACAGACAGACATTTCAATTTTATTTATATGTATAGATGATGGGTAAGAAAACGTTTAATGATGGCTGATGTTTGAAGTTGAATTTTAATATTTACATAATGATTTCTTATATTTACGCGAACACTATACATTGAATAAAACTACTTTTACGGTTTTATTGCGTTTAATTAACTTATTTTATATTCCCGACGTTTCGGTTGCTTTCCAGCAACCATGGTCACGGGGCACTGAGGTGATTGACGTCCCGATGTCAGAGTTAACCCGGAGTACCTTCAGCTTTTTTAATTATTAATTTTGGTCCGATCTACGCAGAATGAACTTACTGTGTCTTGAAGTCTTGCAGTGGTGTGCTTGGGTTTAGTTTTAATTTTATGAATTATAGGATCCCAAACAGGTGGTAGTACCCAGCCTCCCTCTCTATTGAAATTAGGATGTTTTTTTAATTTCAATAGCCTCGCGTATCATCCTTGGCAGGAATCGATGTTCTTCCGCGAGAATTTGTGTTTTTTTTATAGGATAAGGGTGACAAACGAGCACACAGTCCACCTGATGGTAAGTGGTTGCTGTGGCCCATAAACATCTACATCTTTTCAAGCAGTTTAAGTATCGGTTTGTATGGGTCTTTTTTCTATACACAGTGTGACCTATGGTGTTATTAGGATTTCGAATGACTAACACATCTAGGAAAGCTAAAGCATTATTTGCCTCAAACTCCATAGTAAATTGAATTTTAGAGTTTATGGAATTAAGATGTTCTAAAAATGCAGTTACTTTGTCTGATGGTAAAATTGTGAAAGTATCGTCTACGTACCGCTTGTAGAAACTTGAAGTTACTGGTGCAGTAAGCAGGGCTTTCTCCTCAAAGTCCTCTATGAAAATATCGGCGACAATGGGAGATACCGGTGAGCCCATCGTAACCCCATCTACTTGCTTGTAAAACTCTTCCTTCCACAATAGATAGCCAGATGTAAGGCAATGTTTGAGTAATACTGCATATTCTGCTGGCATGTTGTTTTCCTCTAGTTTCCTAGTTACAATTGAGATGCAGTCTTCAACAGGTAGGCATGTAAATACAAACTGAACATAAAAACTGACCATAGTTTCATTGTCAGTAAGACATAGGTCTTTTATCTCACTGACAAAATGGTATGAATCCTTAGTGTGTGCTCTTGTGTGTCCTCTGAGTGGTGATAGTACTTTTGCTAGGTGTTGAGCCAATCTGTAAGTTGGCAAATCGATCTGATTCACTATCGGATGTAATGGAGTGTTTGGTTTGTGTATTTGTGGTAATCCATACAACTTCGGTATTTTGCCCCACGCAGGTATTATCGAATTAACATCTAGATTAAATTTCTCGGAGTTTTTCTTAATTAGATCGTTAGTTGTTTTAAGCGTGTTAGTTGTAGGGTCTGTTTTGACCTTTACGTACGTACTTTCATCCGATAAAAGTTGTTGTATTTTAAAATTGTAACCCGACGTATCCATTATAACCGTATCATTACGTTTATCTGCGCGGAGAATCGTGAGATCTGGGCTGTTGCGTAAGTTTTTAATATTTAATTAATATCCGTTTATAAACTTCAATTTGATATTGTATTCCAATAAAAAATAAACTTCCTATAAATTTTTCTTTTATTGTAAAGAGAGGCAGTTGTTTCGGCAACAGTAAGTAATTAATTTAGAAATTTTCTACAAGAAGAATACGAAATACGAAGCCTTTAAAACTTTTAGCATCAATTATCCCTAGAAAATAACAAACTAATAGCGGTAAATTCAAATTATACTCAGTAGGTATATAGGTAGGCATCGTTTGCTAACTTGGTTGTTTAGTTTTAACATAATTACAGATATCGAATTTCCTTTTTAATGGGAGAGTAAACACGACGAAAAATGCAAAATTTTATAAATTATATTTTTTTTCAAGAAGTACCTAGGCATCATTCGTTAAATTGTTTGTAATAGTTGAAAAATAGTACTTTATATCTTATAACCGTCTTATTACCGTGTATTTTTGGTGTAAGCATAACCACTATCCCAGATAGTCTCGTACGTGTCGTAAGAGGAAAGAGGGAAACAAACCAGGAGAGGACAGCAGCATAGTTGGCATGCTCGGCAATGAAATGGCTACTAGCATAAGCAATATGATGATCCTGTTACATTTCCTTTTGTCGCCTCTCACGACATCCACCGGATGATATTCACCGTTCCATTCCATTTCACCACTGCTTACACAGGCCTCCTCTCATTTCTGAGAGGGTTTTTAGGGCAAGTTAATGTTGGCGAAATTCACATGTTTTAGAAATATTTAAAAAAATGCTAGTAATGCTATTAAACATTGCTAATATTCCCTTTGACCACTTCTGGTAAGCTTAAAATGCTTGTGTTAGAAGTGGTTCACGACAGTAGTCGAATGGCGGATTCGAACCCGCAACCTTACGAGTTCGCAGCCTGCGCCCTGCTATTAAGCTACTAACGCTTAATTTCTTTTCTTATTTCCTTTTTCTCGTTTATTTTTTTATTTCCTCACGATGTTTTTCTTCACCACCGAGCACGTGGTAAATCAGCACTTTGAATTGAATTCAACAACTATGAAATTTACAGCGAGCCTTAGTCCCCGAGCTACCACGACTCTATAAAATGACGTTTTTAACGTAACTATTTAGATGACATTATATTTCTTAGAGACTTCAACATTCCTTAGTCCAGTGAGAAGGGTCCAAAAATTAAACTTTTAATAAAAAATAAGAACCAACTTCAAAAACTAAAGTTATTTTCACGTAATAGCTTCTTAAGTGGGGTCTTTAATTCTTCGGTGTACCAAGTACCTGCGACCGGGCGCGCCTATAATGTGCGTAAGAAATTACACAGTGTCCACAGCGGAAGCAGCTCTAGTCTTTGCAATCGAAATTGATGGTCTTACTCCGCCTTATAAAAATATCACTTGATTTAGACTTTGAGGTTAGGTTAGATTTCTTTTGAGGTTAGAAGTCAAATATTTTGGCAGACTGTTGTTTGCTTAAATGTTGTGATGTACTTAGTTCCAAAATTTTTATCAGAACTAGGAAAAAATAATTTAATTTGATACGAGTACATAACATCTCGTAATTCATTACTCGTTATTAATATAGAATTACTTTACGTAACTTATTTTATCACAAGCAACACAAGTAACATGTATTGCTTGTTATTTTTTATTTTTTGCATTATATATTTAAAACGGTGATTATTTGGAAATAAAGCATTGGATTAAAAGAAAGTTAATTAATAATTTAGGGGTTCACAACACAAGCAATAACAAAATGTTAACTTAATTAAAAACATTCTATAATGTAAGGTTAATAAATATCTAATAAAGTACACTTATTGTTTCAGGTACCGGCAGAAAGAATGATATTAAATTTATTTCTTTCCAAAATTTTATTGTGAAACATTGACGTGAGACCATTAAGATTAAAAAAATAAAATAAAAATGAGTAATAAATCGCAGATACTTTTTAATATTTTCCAAGAAATTTTGGCCGCATCTGGTAATTCTTCTGACAGTCAAAGTATTAATGAAACGAAGATCATCTCGGTTCTTCGAGAACAAGCGTCTCATGGAAAGGGTAATAACTTAGGATCAGTTTTAGTGAAGGTGGTAAACGACGCGCAGACCAAACTCAATCTTACTATTAAACCAGATTCATGTGGATACTGTGATGGCGATTTCAGAGATATCATCGAAGCTTACAACGGTATTCACGGATATGTCAGCTTATTGGTGAGTTCCTATTTGATTAATTATAAACAATATTTAAGTTTTAAAAACCTGAAACAACGTCATGATCTGAGAGGATTCTAAAAAGATTACTAGTTAATAGTTATTCAGACATCCACATAGGCCTTCCCCTAGATTAGCCCTATAGTAGGCGTTTTACCATAGTTGCAACGCTTGGTAGGCGCGTTGTCAAATGCAGTTTTTTAATATTTTGAGTCTAAAAGGATCTGCTGCCCATATCCTGTTTCAGTTTCTCTCTTTTGCCTCTCACCACACCCACGGGACGATATGTGGTAGTGGATATTCTTTCACCGCCGCTACAATCTATTGGGGGATGCTATGTTCAGCAGTGGACATTTAGATGCTGTAATGTATGGATGGATGTATACATGGATTAAGACGTCTGGAATTATACAAATTACAAAAAAAAATCATTGAACAAATCTCATTTTATTTTGTAAGCTATTGGTAGAGATACGCGGCAGCTTTTGCTGTCGCACGGATGGGCCGGCTCGAACCGGGGTAGTACCACGACCTCACAGAAAACCAGCGTGAAGTAGAGGTTTACCTCTGCGTTTCGCTTGGTGAGTGCAGGTGGCCGGAGGCCCTTTTTACTGGAAATGAGGCATTCCATCTTAGTCCTCACGGGTGACAACGCATCTACATTTTGATTTGTAACAGAGGATAGATGTAGATGTCTATGGGCCGCAGCAACCACTTACCATCAGGTGGACTGTGTGCTCGTTTGTCACCCTTATCCTATAAAAAAAAAAAAGACTGTCATAAGGAATGAAGTCTGCCCCTAGGTGTGTATAATAAAGATACAATAAATAATATAATTAATAGAATCAGGCGTTACTTTGTGGAAATCCATTATATAAAAGCTTTTACAAAAATTTACTTCGCAAATATCCGCGTTATAAAATAAAATGATGTGTCTTACCTAGTATGAATAGCACCTCCCGCCCTCCCTCAATTGCGTGCACTATCCCCGTCATCACTAATCCCAGCACCGCTACTCCCAACACCACAACACTAGGCAAGACACACCACTGACGATAATACGACACGTGTTTCGCCTCTACACGAGGCATCCTCAGGTGATATAGACTCTACGGTGGCTAACTTAGCGGTTAATTTTTGTAAAAGCTTTTATACAATAAATAAATAAAATAAATATATAAGATAATATGAAGTGTGTAAAAGGAATATTACCTACAAGTATTTCCGTTACTAACTCCAAATAATCAGTTTAAAATTCTTCTAGTCCTAGGGTCGTTTTACTGTAGTCGATGGTCGACTTAAACTTTTAAATTAAAAAAAAATTGGTTACTTTCGATTTTAATCTAGTAACAATTTAAAAAAACTGCGGTTGCCAACCCGCTCGCAAAGCGTGGCAGCTATAGCAATATACCCACCAATGAATAAAGTTACAAAGAGACGGCCCCCAGTCCCTGGGGCCCCCGCTATTCCTGGCTACGGTGGCGACCATGGTAACGGCGGGGCAAGGGGTGCTAAGAATCTCCGGTGGAGGTTCGGTTGCCACCTTAGACGACTCGACCTGGCAACTTATAACGCACGCACCCTGAGGACTGACGAGAAGATTCTGGAGCTGGAAGAAGAGATAGACAAGTTGCGCTGGCATATTATAGGATTATCCGAGGTTCGAAGAGAGGGGGAGAACACAGTAATCCTCGAATCCGGCAACTTGTTCTATCACCGGGAGGACGACCATCTGTCCCAAGGAGGTGTCGGATTTATCGTCCACAAGTCTCTCGTTAACAACGTTATAAAGATTAGGAGTGTGTCGACGAGGGTTGCGTACCTTATACTCCGAATCACCAAACGGTATTCACTGAAGGTCATACAGGTTTACGCACCAACCTCGGCACACCCAGGTGGAGAAAATGTATGAGGATGTCTCTAGAGCCATGCATTCCTCCAAAACCCCATATACGGTGTTAATGGGAGACTTCAACGCAAAACTAGACACATGAGAGAACGGTGAGCTGAAAGTAGGGAAATTTGGAATAGGGCAACGGAAGCCAAGGGGCCAGCAGCTGGCCCACTTCATAGAGAAAGAGGGACTCTTTATGATGAATTCTTTCTTCCAGAAGCGGCCCCACACGAAATGGACCTGGTCGAGCCCCGACGGTTCGACAAAAAATGAGACTAACTTTATTATGACGACCAGACGGCAACTGTTCAGTGATGTCTCAGTGATTGCGAGGGTGAAAACTGGTAGCGATCACCGAATGGTTAGAGGCACACTGAACCTAAACGTTAAGTTGGAGAGATGTCGTCTAATGAAGTCAACGCTCCGTCCCCTTCGTGCTCTAATCCAAAGTCCCGAAACCTTTCAGCTCGAGTAACAAAACCGTTTTCTGTGCCTAGAAGATTACAATGCCCACTGCATTGCGACGATATGAATGATAAGCTCGTGGAAACTGTCCATGCGGTCGGAGTTAAGTTCTGCAAGACCCGCCGCAGAAGAACATAAAAACTCACCTCAGAAAAAATCATGGCTGTTAGACGGGAAATGAAGTTGCAGTCTTCAGTAGATTTGATAGCATAGAGACAAATGAACAGACAGATCTCCAAATGCATGCGGCGGGACTTACGTGACTTTAATACTGCACGTATTGAAGAAGCGATCGAGCGGAACAGGGCTCCAAAATCTTTGCTTGAGATCTGTCTGCCAGAAAAAGCCAACTGTCAAAGCTGAAGACCGAGTGTGGCGGCATCGTTTCCGGGACACCTAAGATTTTGATTGAGATTGGAAGGTTCTATGGGCAGCTGTACACATTATCGTTGGAGCCACACACAAGTGTGAGTAACGATCCAAGAGCAAGTCATATCCGACACTATTCCGATGATATTCCGGATGTCAGTCTGAGCGAGATTAGAATGGCTCTCCAGCACCACAAAGACGGCAAGATCCCAGGTTAAGATGGAATTACAGCGAAGCTTCTGAAAGCGGGTAGAAAACTGGTACTTGTAGTCCTTCAGAAGCTTTTTAAATTCGTCCTTCATGGTGGCACTACACCGGAGGCGTGGAGCAGAAGTACGGTGGTCTTGTTTTTAAAAAAAAAGGCGATAACGCTCTCTTGAAGAACCACAGACCGATTTTCCTTCTGAGCCGCGTCTACGTGCTGTTTTCGAGAGTCATTACGAATCGTCTCGCATGCAGACTCGACGACTTCGAGCCTCCCGAACAAGCCTGTTTCCCAAGAGGCTTTAGCACCATAGAGCATATACATACCCTTCGACAAATTGTACAGAAGTCCGAGGAGTACAATTTGCCACTTTGTCTGGCGTATGTGGACTATGAGAAAGCCTTTGATTCCGTCGAAATTCGGGCGGTGCAGTCCCTTCAGCGGTGCCAAGTTGACCGTCGGTATATCGAAGTGTTGAAGTATTTGTACAGTAGGGCTACGATGGCTATCCGAGTACAGAACCAAAGCACGAAACCTATCCAACTGCAGAGAGGTGTAAGACAGGGTGACGTTATATCCCCGAAACTCTTCACCGCTGCATTGGAAGACGTTTTCAAGCTACTGGACTGGAAAGGATACGGTATTAACATCAACGGTGAATACATCACTCATCTTCGATTTGCCGACGATATAGTCCTTATGGCAGAATCGCTGAAGGACCTAAGCACTATGCTCAATGACCTCAATAGTGTCTCCCAACGGATAGGTCTTAAGATAAACATGGACAAAACGAAGATTATATTTAACGTCCATGTCACACCTATGCTGGTAGTTGTTGGGAGCACTAAGCTCGAAGTTGTTGACGAGTATGTTTACCTGAGACAAATATTCCGACTAGGTAAGTCCAACTTCGATCGAGAGGTCAATCGACGGACTCAACTCGGCTGGGCAGCGTTCGGGAAGTTACGGCACATCTTCTCGTCAGGTATACCTCAAAACTTGAGAACTAGACTGTATAACCAGTGCGTGTTGCCAGTGATGACCTATGGAACTGAGACGTGAGTTTTCACTGCTTGCCGTATGAGGAAGCTTAAGTGGCAATAGGCCGGCCATATAGTTCGAAGAACCGACTACCGATGGAGAAAAAAAGGTTCTCGAGTGGCGGGCTCGTACCGGCGGACGAAGTGTAGGGCGTCCCTCCACTAAAAGGAGTGTAGACCTGGAAAGACATGCAGGAAGTCGATGGATGCAGGTGCCTCATGACCGTGCTTTGTGGCATTCCTTGGGGGAAGCCTATGTTCAGCAATGGACTTGCGATGGGCTGTAATGATGATGATGATGATGATGATGATGATGAGAATACTAAATCTATATTTAATGTAGTTACTATTTTATCAATCACACTACTTATTTTTGTATAGGCCGAAATATCATTTACATGTGAGATTTCACATTTGCTAACTGTACTATACTATATAGAGGTGGTATTATGCCAAAGTTTATTCAAAGTTGCTGATTGTTGAACAAGTTTAGGGCTTACAGGAAACACTGTGAAGGACTGTTGACTATACCACTTATAATGAAATAGCATCTACGCGGAATGATTTCCATTTTTGCGTTTTGCTTTTTTAACACTTTCACTGTCCGGTTTTCAGACGCAATAGTATAAGACAATAGCAATGAATTATATTATGTGGTGCACATGACAGCGAAAGGGTTAACTTTTTATATTTTTTTTATCGGTCTGTAAATGTCCACTGTTGGACATAGGCCTCCTCCGTTGTGTAGAAGATTTGGCTTCATCGTTACGCTTGGCAGGCGGACCAGACGTCTTGCACCTTTGACGTAGGCGGTATGGATATTTGACATCTAAAGTAATTTAAATGATCAATGTATCATCTTTTTTACGTGGTACAGCCATGATGCAGCTATATTAGTAGTATAGTTGTAGCACGAATGGGTCGGCTCGACCGGGGAAGGACCACGCTCTCACAGAATACCAGCGTAAAATAGCAGCTTAACGCTGCTGTGTTTCGTATGGTGAGTGTAGAGAACCGGAGATCCTTT